ATGCATATATAAATGGTGAACATGTATGTCATCTATTCCCATGGATTCCCAATTAATTGAATGATATGCTACAAAAATATCTTCTTAAAAATGTCGTAAAGAGCACTTTAGATGGGCTTCCGCTTTCAGTATCTGCAATGAAAATTTTGAATCGATCTATACATATATCAATAACAACCCTCAAGATCCCTGCATGTAGCATCACACACTACTTTTGGAATGAAAGAATGCTACTTTCTTACCGAATAAGTTTGTCATAAGCCATTACCTTATTCAAATTTAAAACTTGAAATAAACGGTGAATAATGTAGCTAAAAACATCAAAATATCGTATATAGGGAGGAACCGCTATATCGGAGCTGTCCGTAGATCTGAACCAGCATAGACAATTTTCTGTCACAGGCTGTAGCATTCATTACGAACTTCAAATACGACATCTCAAACAATTTCGGTGGGTATTATACCTAAACTCGTCAAAATACCGAATATAGGGAGGTACTGATATATGGGGTCTATACGAAGACCTGGGACTGCATGGACAATTTTCTGTCATAGACTTTAGTTCCTATTACGGACTCTAAATACGTAATTTGAAACAATTCCGGTGAATAATGACGCTAAAATCATCAAAATACCGAATATTGGGAGGTACCGTTATATGGGGGCTATACAAAGACGTAGACCTGCACAGACAATTTTCTGCCATAGGCTGTGGTATCCATTACGAACTTCAAATACCAAATATCAAACAATTCTGGTGAATAATGTAGCTAAAATCATCAAAATACTATACATTATAATTTACGGTAAAGTTGCTGTAGATGAAGCATCTTAGAAGAGACTGAACGTATCCCTCAAGATATAGGCATATATAATTGTAATACTTACAAATAATTCTGAAAGAACATATATCCTGTTTTTGCAATTTGTGTATGGAGCATTTCATTCTTGAAATTTCACACAGTAATGCAAAGAGATTATAGAGGCCTTTGAACAAAACCACGAGGCAATTCTCTGCTACATCTCCAGTATCTGTTAATACACATTAAAGGTAGCAGGGGCTGCAACGAATTTGTATGACACACTATTGGGTCTGAACGACATGACAAGACATTGAGATTTTTGTTGAATGCGTCTGATCAAAGGCATAACATGACGAGCTTTTTCTCCCTATAACTTAAATAGAGAATTATACCGCATCTGGGGCTTATTCAAAATTTGTTTTTTTTTTTCTACCGTTTTCCATTCTATAATAGACATAATAAATAAATAAAAAGTCATCAATTTAACTGAAACATTTTTTTCCATTTTTATACCCTCCACCTTGGAAAGGTATGATTTGGTATAGCTCCTATGTAACGGTACCTCCAAATATTCGGTATTTTGATGATTTTTGCCACATTTTTTCACGGATTTGTCTAAAAATTGGTATTTGTTGGTCATAACGGGTTCTAGCTCCGGTGGCAAAACATTGCATGTAAAGGTCCACGATTTGGTATAGCCCCCATATAATGGTACTTCCCGATATGCGGCATTTTTATGGGTTTTCTCACATTTTTTCACGGATTTGTCTAAAAATTGGTATTTGTTGGTTATAATGGGTTCTGGCTGCGGTGGCGAAACATTGTATGTAAAGGTCACGTTTTGGTATAGCTCCCATATAACGGTACCTCCAGATATTCGGTATTTTGATGATTTTTGTCACATTTTTTCATGGATTTATCTAAAAATTGGTATTTGTTGATCATAATGGGTTCTAGCTCCGGTGGCAAAACATTGCATGTATAGGTCCAAGATTTGGTATAGCCCCCATATAATGGTACCTCCCGATATGTGGTATTTTGATGGTTTTTGTCACATTTTTTCACGAATTTGTCTTAAAATTGGTATTTGTTGGTCATAATGGGTTCTGGCTGCGGTGGCGAAACATTGTATGTATAGGTCCACGTTTTAGTATAGCTCCCATATAACGGCACCTCCAGGTATTCGGTATTTTGATGATTTTTGCTACATTTCTTCGCGGACTTGTCTAAAAATTGGTATTTTTGTGTCCTAATGGGTTCTAGCTCCGTTGCCGAAATATTGTATGTATAGGTTCACGGTTTTGTTTGTCCCATATAGCGGTACCTCCCGATATTCAATATTTTGATGATTTTGCGACATTTTCCCACGAATATGTCTAAAAATTGATATTTGTGGGACACAATGGGTTCTAATGTTTCCTTTACTCTAAGGTGAATTGTATTAAAAGTTTGGCTGGGCCAAACTTAATGTTTTTTTTTACTTGTTTTGTATTGAGTTAATATACACGGAAACGTTTGCATTGAGTATTGTACTGTTTCATTTCCAATGTTGCGTCGTACTTCGAGAGAATACAGAACGAAACGACTGCAACCGTTTCCTATAGTTCTCTTTTCGTACGCTATTCACATGGATTCCAAATTTATTGAATGATATGCTACAAAAATATCCTCTTAAAATGTCATAAAGAGCACTTTTGATGGGCATCCGCTTTCAGTATCTGCAATGCATTGCGTCATACAGCAGAGTAAATTTCTGTTTTGTTTTTGTTTCGACTCATCTACAAAAACAGTACGAAATAAAAACAAGTCCCGTTATCTTAATATTGGTTTTAATTCCTACTTCGAGAAAATACAGAATGAAACGACTGCAACCATTTCCTTTCTTTTTTCGTACGCTTATTTCTATTCATTGTGTTTTTAATAGAAAGTGACTTTCAGCGTCAGAAATATTTGCGTTTGAATGGTAGCCTATTTTGTCCTTTAATTAATATCCCATAAACATCCAAAAGGTGGACCCTGTTCTAAACTCTTGCCCCATGCAATTGGCCCATAATTGTAGCCAATAGAGCGAATGCATCAACAAGGACATTTCTGTTTCTGGTATGCATATAAAAATGGTGAACAGGTATGCCATCTATTTTCATGGATTCCAATAATTGAAAAAAGAAAATCATAGAACAACTTGATTGCTTCAAAACATTTTCCTTTAATTTTTTCGAGAAATATTTGCGTTTGAATGGTAGCCTATTTTGTCCTTTAATTAATATCCCATAAACATCCAAAAGGTGGACCCTGTTCTAAACTCTTGCCCCATGCAATTGGCCCATAATTGTAGCCAATAGAGCGAATGCATCAACAAGGACATTTCTGTTTCTGGTATGCATATAAAAATGGTGAACAGGTATGCCATCTATTTCCATGGATTCCAATAATTGAAAAAAGAAAATCATAGAACAACTTGATTGCTTCAAAACATTTTCCTTTATTTTTTTCGATAAATAAATCCCTCGATTTAATTTCATCAATTTTTTACACAGATTGTGTTGGAATACAACAATTTGTACGTTACAACACCCCAAACATGCGCTTCAACATGTGCTAATATTGTACAGAAATATCGAAACACAAAAGAAAATGTTTGTTAGTTAAAATGATAGTTCCTCCTCAAAACCGACATTTATTAAATCCGAACTCTGTTTTTAGTCAATTTTACGTATAAAAACAATTATTTTTAAATTAAATCGACTTAATACCACCAGAATTTCCTAGCTGACTTGTGATCTTAGGGCTACATACACTGGTGGCCAAAACTAAAGCAACTAAAATCGCAAAGACAATAAATGACGTGTAACTTTTACAAAAATAAACAAATCGTAGTTACTTTTCCAGTTTTAAATGAGATACTTTATTCACTTTAAAAAAAAAAACTAGAAATAAAAATACAAAAATAATTTTGAATGAAAAATAATATGTGGAAAACTAGAATGACCCAATATTTGTTTGGTCAAAACTAAAGCAACTTTTTCATTTTAAAATTAATGAATTTTGGTAGTAGTCGATAGCTTAACTATTATTTTTGATAGCAGCTGAACACTTACGAGGCATTGAATCTATTACACGCTCCATGATCCATGGGTATGCTATCCCAGGCATCCTGAATTCTTTGGTTAATTTGTTTCCAAATCCCGCTTGATCTTTCTGTCTACGGTACATTAAAGGTTTTCTATGGGGTTTAGGTCAGGTGATTGTACCGGCCGTGACAAAACACCTATTTTCGACCCCCGCAACCAATTGGCAAGTTTTGATGCATGTTTGGGATCATTGTCATGCTGAAATACCCAAATAAGCCGAATATTTTCCCCTGCGAAAGGGAAGATCGTTATTAAAAAAATTTTCATGTTCAGACCAGCTCTCACTACCTCTCTACGCACTGATCTCAAGCTCAGTTGAACTCTTAAATGGTTGTTTTTTTTTTGCTTTCATAATTTGTTGATCATTACGGGCTGAAGTTTTTCATGACCTTCACCCGTTATAGACTGTTATTACTGATCCAGTTTCATAAAACCGACATAGTATACGAGAAATCACAGAAATATTTATGAAATATTTCTCGGAAATTATTTTCTGTGGTAGCTTGTTTTCATAGTCATTGATAACTTACTGTTTTATTAATGTACTGTAATTGCTTTTAGCCGTTTTTAAACTTTTTTGGGCAGAACTTAAAAAACGAAAAAAATACGTGTTGTTTTAAAAAACTTCTCAAAAATGATTTATGACAAGCGAAATTGTTGAAGAAAGCAAAAAGCGATAAATATAACGGTAAAAACAACTGAAATTGCAGCGATCATATGAATGTACAACAGAGTTGCTTTTGTTTTGTCCAAGCCAAAATCGGGTTAATTCACTTTATCATACATTATTTTTTATATAAAATTGAATTCTGGTTTTTTGTTTTAAGTTTTTAAAAAGTAAAAAAGTGCCTAATTTAAAACTAGCCAACATTCTAATTTCCTTAATTTTTTAAAAAAAGTTTCAAGGCATTCATTCTCTTTGCAATTTCAGTTGCTTTAGTTTTGGCACTAGTGTATATAAATGTAAATGTGACTGTTCATATTTGGAAGTTTCAATGTAAATAAAATGTATACATATTAATTTTCTCTTGTGCATTTTTTTTATATATTTGTAATTAAATTATAGAACGTTTGCGAATGAAACTTCGCAGTTTCTTGCGCCATATGATCAATCTGTCAAGAGTCGCAGTGGCAATATGACTGAAGCTTCAGTTCCAGCAAACAATTATGGCGGTTCAAATCCAGGATTATTTGTGCCTCCACCACAATCATCTATTTCTAATTCAGAACTAACAAGTACTTCTCAAACACAGCAAATAAACCGTTCCACAATGCGAGACACCATAGCAGCTCGAGTTGACGTCTGGAATCCATTTGAAGAACAACCATTTAGTCAAATGACCGAAGATAATATATTTGAAGCTGAATTCGATAAAATACGCCAAAGAGGAAGTCAAGGAAGTATGAATTCCTGAAGAAACCAGTATTCACAAATTTATGTTTATGTTAATTGTTTACATTTTATTAGGTATTAACACAAAGTCTGCCTCGACTACTTCCACTTTAACACCTACAGAGACAAATGTGGTTGGCACTGGATCTAATTCTACTGTTCCCCCAGCTACTGTTTCCAGTTCAACAACTACAGTTGGATCTACACAACAGGAAGATCCTTTTGGATCAGCACCCTTCAGTTTGCCTCCTGGTTTGAAGGAGAAGACGGCATCCCTACGTAAAACTGGAGGTAAATCATGAACTTACTTATCTTACTTTTCTCAGTGTTAATTCATTATGTAGAAAAACATTTTCCCTCGTCCTGAAGAGTAAAATAGAAAGATTCAACGTTCACTAATTGTAGTATTCAAAGCTAATATTGTGATTTAATGCTACAAATTGTGGTCATTAGTAACTGTTTAATGCATCTTTCTCCATTCCATATCAGATCTACATGTAAAAAGCTCTGATTCTCATTTTAACTAACATGGAAGTTATTAATTGTTTCTTTTGTTACCTTTCTTCTTACTCTCCCCTTTATGTTGCCTCAAAAGATAAAGACAGAATCGAGTAAATTCAAATATATATCACAATTCCTCAGTGCTTCGGGTTTTTGGTAAAGATTTTAAGCTCTCCTTTAAACAAATTACAATAGTTTTCAATCAACAGAAGTGACGTAGCGATGTTGGTCTTCAGTGAATTTTTGTAACAAGTGTTGTATGATTTTTGTTATCATCGTAATTCGGTTAAAAATGCTTTACATCATTTCTCATACGTCGGTTGTGGTGGTCTAATCTCCTAACACTTTATAACAAAACACATTAATACACGTTTAGTAGCATAGTTTACTATAAGAAAAACGAACAAAAAGAGTGCACGTATGCGAAATTTTTATTACTCTAAATTTAATTAAAGACAGTTATTTATTATAATCATATCATAGCACAACTTAGTTCTATTCTAAAAACTATTAATAAACAATATATTATGAGAGCTTTCCTCTCCATATGTTCAAATCACACAACCTGTTTGGTTCACATCATTCCTTTCTGTACAAAACGATCGGTTTTGCAAATAACACAAAAGAACTAAAATCTATGAATCAGACTAGTCAATTGACAATACACTTCTTGTGCAAATATGCGACTTCTACAATTTCATCGGCATTATTATTTAGCAAATAGTCTTCAATTAACAGTTTTGTTCTTCGCAGCTCCAGATGGAATTAAAAATAAAAAAATATATATGACAAATAGTATTTCATGGGATTATTAACGATTTTCTGGACGATTTTCTTTTTTTTTTCTTTTTGCATATGCAATTTGAGAGCGGTTAATCTTTTTGTCAGTTAAGAATAGAGGAAAAATTGATGAAAAGAGATTCTTTATAAAAAACACATGCTAAAGTAAAAATATTGTGGCGAATCAAAATTGTATATCTAGTCCAAAATTCAAAGTTGTTCCTTTACCAATTTTATTACGTACTGTTACACTGCTAAAAAATAGTGAATTAAATGTTATATTGATAACCATGCACTAAAATACGTGTAAAAATTTATTAGTCTTATTTTCAAGTGTCTATGTATGATATGTTGATATATATTTATAAAATTACTTATACAATTAGGAGACTTTAAATATAAAAACTAATGGTTTTTTCTTCATGCAAATTAATGTATTAAAATTCAAGTCTCCATGTTTATTATTTATGGAGATTATTAAACGCAAATAGCCAACACACTAGAAGTTAAGCTTAAAAATATAAAATATAACATGTAACTATGCATAAATGGACATACTCAAATGGAGTAAATAAATTAAATATAAATATATAAAAACTCTTAAAACAGTGGGAATATTGTTATTTTTGGTTATTGTATAACACATATACTTTTCATTAAATGTAATGGACGATGTTCACACGTCATTTCATCTGTCATGAATTTAATCAAACATCTGGTAATCACATTTAACACATCCTGCCCATTCTCACATTTTAATTTTAATACACAAAGATTTACTAAAATTTTGATAATTTCATATCAAATAGAATACGGTTCTGATGCTTTGTAGAGATGAAATATAACTTTTTTACCACACTAGGATGAACAGAAAGTGTCACTGTTGGAAATGGAGTTAAATGTATTTTGCAAATTCAAATCAGGAGTTAATAATTAATACTGAGACTGGTGTGTACTTTTGAATCTATTTTATTTATGTTGTAGAACTTCCGAGTCTAACACAAATGAATAGGTTTCAATACTTATATACATTCTCATGATGATCTTTTATCTAATGCATATATAGGACAATTTATAATGCGTCATTTTAATATTTTTACAAATTGTGTATTACTATTAACTAACCATATAACGAATGAGAATCGTTTTATTTTCATAGAACCTGGTAACATGGATATAAATTGTACTTTTTCACGATAATAGAAACGTAACAAAACATTTTTAAAATGATTATATGTCTTACACGGGTATTTGTTTCACACGGGATATGTATCATTTTGTTTTCCCTTCAATTTACAGTCCATATTCAAGTTTATTATTTTATTTTACGACAATATCATCTTTGCACTTATGGTATTATCTATATCATGTCCTTCTTTGATAATGGAGAGAGTTTTAATGGCAGCGAACAAGTTATAATTATAATGAATAGATTGATAAGGTGCCTATTGGCTTCTTTGAACTCAGTACATACAATAAATAAATTGCCAAATGTTGTTTGGCTCTTTTTATGACTACATTGTCTGTTTTTATAGTTGTTTCATATAACATTATTTATATACCAAAAATCCGGCATTATTTCCACAAACTATTTTTAAAATTCTTAATTAAAAATGTTTTGTAAAGCCGTGTGCAAAGTGGAGTCCCAAACATATTAAACCACGTCTTTTCCTATGATATATGCATTTTTTATGAACATATGTTAACATAAACATATTGCGTTGTTACCAAATAATATTTAGCTGATAAAATGGACTCTTTGAGAGAATAATACCAAAACTTCCACTCAACCGAAAATATTTATTTAAAACCTAAAGCCACTTCCCGTAGAATAATAGAAGTTAACCATTATAGACCAATCGGCGCGAACCTTTTTGTGGCGTTAGAGTTTGGAAAAAGGCAGAAAACTATTATATTGGATGGCAATCGGATAATATTTAGTGTATGAAATGAACTATTAGAATCTTTGTGTGAATAATACCAAACTTTTCCACTCAACCCCAAATATTTTAAACCTAGCACCACTTCCCGTAGAATAATTGAAGGTTACTGTTATAGACCAACCGGAGCGAAACTTGCACCACTTCCCGTAGAATAATAGAAGGTTACTATTATAGACCAACCGGAGCGAAACTTTGCATGGCGTTAGAGTTGGTGAATAATACATTTCCTCTAATGGAAAATATTTGTTTTATTTCAGATTTAAGTTTACTAAAATTGAGCTCGAGGTCTTTGTTGTTTTTAAATAATATTTATTTATTATTTTCGATATTTCGTCCTCCGACGAAAGACATCATCAGGAACAATACTTAAACATATAACAAGAATATAAAATCTCGCCAATTACCAACATCGACCTTGTGTTGCTGTCATCTGTTTTGTCACTATGGTGTTCTCTTCTTATTGCATTTTATTTATTATACCCTCCACCATACTATGGAGGGTATATTAACTTTGTCATTCCGTTTGTAACTCCTCGAAATACTCATGTCAGACCCAACAAAGTGTATATATTCTTCATCAGCGTAAAATTCTAAGTCGATTTAGCGATGTCCGTCTGTCTGTCTATCCGTCTGTTTTAATCACTCTATATTTTGAACGAATTAATATAGAAGGCTAGAATTTTGCACACAAGTTTGTTTTTCCAGTAGGCAGGTTAATTTCGTAAATGGGAAAGTGTAGGTCCACGTTTTCATATAGCCCCCATATAACGGTACCTCCCGATATTCGGTATTTTGATGATTTTAGCGACATTATTTAACGGAATTGTTTTAAATTTGGTATTTGAAGTTCTAAATGGATACTACAGCCTAAGATAGATAATTGTCTGTGCAGATCCACGTCTTCGTATAGCCCCCCTATAACGGTACCTCCCTATATTCGACATTTTGATGATTTTAGCGACGTTATTAATCGGAATTGTTTTAAACTTGGTATTTGAAGTTCGTAGTGGACTACAGCCTATGACAGAAAATTGTCTGTGCAGGTCCAGGTCTTTGTATAGGCCCCATACATCAGTACCTCCCTATATTCGGTATTTTGACGATTTTAGGTACATACCCACCAGAGGGCTGCAACGAGTATGCAAAAATTCAAGCACACTCGGTTTCTTACAGATTTTTGTTGATGCTGTCGTTTAGTTTGATCTGTATGAAATGACCGTTTTCGCTTCGCTTCGGATCGAATCGAACGCTCAGTCTGAATCACTTCGCTCACAATCAAACATGAGTGTTCGAGACGGTTTTATGTGTTCAGCAACATGAGTTAATCGAACACATGAATATAAATGAGCAATCACAACCGTGATTGTCTTCTTTGAATCGAGTTCGTTCAGCGTCATTGTTTATTCAACCATTCAATCAAGTTGGGGCAGTTTATTTTGACTTTTTTAATATTTGAAATGGAAGAATATTGTGGTAGTGTGACCGAAATTGTTGCAAGTAGAAACTACACACGTGTAGGTAAAAGAAAAGGTCGAAGTTTGTGAAAAATCTTGACCAATATTGTAACAAAAAAAATATTTAAACATTTTTAGTTTACTAAATACCAATGATGTGTTTTTTTATTAAAAATATTAATTTTGTTTTGTTTTTTTTTTATTAAGTTGCTGAAGTGTAACGTACAAAAAACCCCAAAAAAAAAAAGAAAAAATTGTATGTTTATTAAATATAATTTGCACCAATTTCTTTAATGGGAACAGCTTTTAGTTATGAAATCCTTAGTAAAATTACAATCATGATTTCGCTCAGATTCGAACATTTGTGTTTTAATCAAATCAAATCACTCACTTAACTAGGATAAATAAAACCGACCAGACTCATCATACATGATCGACCCGTTATGAACAATTCAACATGAGTTCGTAAACAAATAACTCATGTGAGCTGTTTGATTGTGAACACAAAACTTCGATCAATACATGTTTGATCACAACTTTATCGTATGACTTGAGCAACTCGAATGAACATGTTACATCTGACCGACTGATTGAGTTTGATTGTATTTCCACT